ATCTTCAAGCTGATCGGGCCCGTGCTGGTGCGGCAGGACATGGATGAAGCCAAGGCCACGGTCAGCAAGCGCCTGGACTACATTGGGGCCGAGATGTGAGTGCTGCGGGGGAGGGGCGGGGCGGTGCCAGAGCATGGGGGCAGGGCAGGGCAGGTTCTGGGGTCCCAAACTTACCCTGCCCCCCCCTTCCCCCCCAGCAAGCGCTACGAGCAGCAGATGCAGGAGCTGGAGAAGAAGTCGGAGCAGCAGCGGGAGGTGCTGGCGCGGCTGCAGCAGGAGTATCAGCGCACCCAGGGCAAAGCCGTCAGCAAGGCCTGATGCCCCTGTGGCTGGGGGGGAGGGGGGCAGGGGTCTGTACTTAAGATTTTTGTTTCTTACCGTGTTGGGAATAAAAGAGGTGTTGAGTAGACACCGCCTCATTCCTCTCCTCCTTCCCCCCCCCCAGTACTACAGGGTCCCTGCCCCTTGCCTCAACCCCCAGAGACAGGCCAGGCTCCATCTGTAGCTGCTCATAGTGTCCTTTATTGCTCTCTCATTAGTGTTACAGCAAAACATCGGTGGCAAAAGGCCCCGATCTGGAACCTGGAGTGGGAGCGTGGATGATTCCTGCCGCCCCCCCTCACGCGTGCGGAGGGTGGGGATGACAGAGCTGGAGCAGGCTGAGATTCCCTGAGAAGTGGCAGTCTCTGCCCCATGGGGCGGTGTGGGGGGGGGGGCAGGAGGGAGAAGAGGAGGGGGGTCACCCCCAGGTCCTGCCTTTGCTGGTGGGGGCTGTTGACTGTTGAGGCTCTGCATCAGACAAGGGGAAAGAGGCTGGATGTTCTTTCCCCTTATCCCAGTGGCTTTGGGGAGTGTCCATCCCCCTTGGGCCCCAGGATGGGGAGGAGAGATGAGGGGGGTTTGCCCCCTGAGGGGCTCACTGCTGGGCATATAAAGGATAAGTGCCTCACTGGAGGGGGGCGGGCAGTGATGCCCCATGGACATGAAGTGGGCAGGGGGAGAGGGCATTTGTAAGATCCAGTCACAGCAGCTTCTTTCAGCACTTGTAAGGTGGGTCTGACACCCTCCATAAGGCAACTGCCAGTTTGGGACAGGAAGTGGCCATTTTGGCATTTGGAAACAAGTCTTTGGCACCCAGCATCCTATAGTTGTGGGGGGAGGAGGAGACAAGGGTGTTGTCATGGCAACCTACACCTTTACCCCAGCAGGGAGCACTTGGCAGAGCAGAGCCAGGACAAGAAGTGGGTAGCGTCTGTGCATCTCTGGGGTATTCCCCTCCCCCAGCGCACAGTCCCTCGTCTCCATGGCTCCTGGCTCAGAAGAGGGCCCGGGGGAACCTGCGGCCTGTGGCCTTGATCTTGGGGAAGGTAGCGCTGAGCTCCGGCCTCCGGGAGGGGGTGCTGGGGGCAGGCGGGTGCAGTGCTGGGGGCCCCTTGGGGCGCAGCAGAAAGTCTAGGCTGGTGCTGTTCATGGCGTAAAAAACGTTGGCCATGGGGGGTAGGATCAGCTCTGTGGAGAGAAGCTACAGGGGTAAGGATGGGGGTCCTAGCCACCAGGACCCACCCCCGCAGCTTGTCTCAGCTCCCTGCAGCACTCACCTCTGTCCTCGGGCAGCAGCTGCACCAGCTGGTACTGGGAGGCTGTGGCTGGGTCCTGGCTGTGCTTCTCCAGCACCTTGGCAATGACGGCGGGGGCCTTCTCTTGGCTGGTCACCTGCACATGGCAGCACCACCAAAGGTGAGAGGAAGCTGGGGACATGTGGCCCCTTGCCATGGAGCTGCATCCCCTGCCCCCCATTCAGGGAAAAACTGGGTATGTTCCCCCGCCTTGCACCAGAGCACAGGCAGGGCTGTAGAGAGAGCCCAGGTGTCCTGGCTCCCAGATCACAGCCTCCCCTCCCTAGTCTCAGTCCCAGCCACAACCTAGGAATTGAGCCCAGGTGTCCAGGCTCCAGAACACCCCCCGAAAGTGTGGCAGGGAAAAAAGCAAAGCCTTAGGGTGGTTAAGGTAGGGACATGACCTCCCACCTCCACTGCAGATGGCTAGGAAGAGCCCTACTGCCTGGCGGTGCTTATGGCCTGGCAACAAGCAGCAGAGTAAGTGCATGTCCAGCTCCATTCCCACCCCCACAAGTCCTGCACTCACCAAGACACTCTTGTAGAGGCTGCCATTGGACAGTCCCATGCGGGCACGAATGATGCGGCAGTCAGAGGCGGAGGTGCCAGACTGGGGGGAGGGGAAGGCTGAGCCGCAGGAGGCTGAGCGGCGGTGGGTGCGGGCGAAGCCTCCCGGGGCAGGCGGGGGGGAGGCAGCACTGGTGGCAGCATCCTCAGGGGCCGCATCCAGCGTTGACACTGACGGCCACTTCATATGCTGCAGGAGGGGGGCAAAAAGGGGATGTTGGAGGGTAGGTCCCATGGAGGGGGGCATTTGCGGGGGTGGTGGGTGTCACCTGTGCCAGGCGGGAGAGAAGCTGGGAGCTGTGCGGGGATAGCAGCAGGTCAGGGCTGGTCGCTGGCCCTGCAGTGGAGCTGGGCCGATCCCAGGAGATCAGGGGGTTCTGGTTCTGGAGCTCTGTAGAGATTCCAGACCACCCCCCTCCCCTCCGGTGCAGACTCACTCAGTGCAGTGGGTGATGACCAAGGTGGGCTTCAGGGGGCGCTGTGGGGTTGGTGCCTCCCCCGGGGGCTCGATCTCGCATGACAGCGTGTGGCTGTGGGTGGGGGTGGGGGGTTAGAGATGGCAGAGCATGTGGTGGGTATACGTGCGTGCACATGCATGGCCCCCTTGTCCCTGCCCACCCCGCACCTCTGTGCCTCAGGGAGGGGCTGCAGGGTGCGCAGCCAGTGCTGGAAGGCAGGGTCAGGCCGGAGGCTATAGTTGCCGCAGATGGACTGCAGGAGGCGTAGCTGGGCCAGGACCTCGAACTCCTGCGGGGATGGGATGGGAGGGGGTGAGAGCCAACTGGGTGAGGGGGAGGTAGAGGGGCAGCAGGGGGAATTGGGTGCTGTGTCACCTTGCGTCGCTTCTCAAAGTTGATGTATCCATTCTGCAAGAGACGGGAAGAGGCACTGTGAGCCCTGGAGACCCCCCGACATTCCCCCCCAGCCCCGTGGCCTGCAGCCCTCTTTGCTGGACCTATGTGAACCCCGTGCCCAGGCGTGCATCTGTCTCTCTGCATGTGTGTGTGTGTGTCTACTTGTCTCACCTCCAGCTCATCCTTCACAGCCGCATCCAACATCACCAGGTCCCGCAGGAAGGTGCCCAGGTAGGGAACCACACCCTGGAGGGAGGGGAATACATGGGGGGAGGTTCAGAAACAGCTCCCACCCTTACGCAGACTCCTGCCCAGCATCATGCATCTCCCCAAAGCATCTGCTCCCTCTCACCATAGGGCGCTGCTCCTGGGGTCGCCGCTGCTGCCTCCGGGGGATAGGGTCAGCACCAGGCGGCTTGGAGGTGCCCTCCTGGGGGGTAGAAGTCAGGGGATACTACTGAGTCACATGGGGCAAGAAGGGACCATATGATGGAGGGGCTGGGATAACAGTGGGGAGCTCTGGCTGTCCAGTTGGGAAGTGTGCGGTTGCAGTATCGGGTTGCAAGGCAGAGCAGAAGGGGCTGGGGTTTGCCCCCCTCTGGATGCTACAGGGGTCCAGGGTTTTCCCACCTTCAGCAGCTGGGTGTTGGTTGCAGGCTGGGCTGGGGGTAGTGACTGGGCTGGGCCAATGCTCCTTCTGGGACTCAACCCTGGGTGGTCCTGGCTGGAGTGTCTTGCTCCTCTGCTCAGGGTCAGCCCGACACTGCATTTGGGGTCAGGGCAAAATTTTACCCTGACTCAAGATTGGAGGTTTGCAGCAGGGTCCAGCCTCTGCTCAGGGGCTCTGTAGTGCAATAAACACTCCCTCTCTCCCCCTGGACATCCTGACATCTCCTGGGACAGGGCAGGGCTGGGCATGGTGGAGGTGGGGCTGGGTTGGAGTTGCTCACCTGGAAGAGGAGCTGGCGGCTGAGGCTGTAGTTGTCCTGCTCGGAGCAGATGGTGCTGAGCTCCTCATAGCTGCGCTGAGCCTCCCTGTGGATAGAGGGACAGGACAGGCAGTGAGTGAACCCCTGCTCCATGGTAGGACCTGCCCCCTTCCCCAAACCCCACTTCCTTGCACCTGGAGATCTCATCCCAGGTACGCTTGAGACGGTGCACAGGGCTGGACTGCAGCGCAGAGATGATGGCGTACAGTGAGGAGAAGTTCCTCAGGGCTCGGCACTCCTGGGGGGCAGAGGGTTCCTGAGGTCATGACCTTTCACCCCACCTCCTGGGGTAAGGGTCAGAGTTCAGGGATCATGGGCTGGCAGTGAGGGCAGGGATTAGGGTTAGGGTCTCACTCAATTTAGCAACACCTGTGCCCCAGACTGGCAGTTCTGTGTAACTAAGTTCTGGCTCTAGGGTCAGGGGTCATGGGGCTGGGGTCAAGGGTCATGGGCTTGTGCTCACCTCGGCCATAAGGACCCACTTCCTGGACATACGTGCTGCTATGGGGGGGTGGAGGCCAAAAGAAATGGGGCTGGCAGCAGGGTCAGGGTCTGACCTCGGCAGTGCAGATTCATTTCTCAAAGGGGTGAGTGAACTGCATTTCTCATAGGGGGGATCAGGGGTCATGAAGCTGGCAGTGAGATTTGGGGTTGGGGGTCAGAGGGCTCGCAATGAAGTCAGGGGTTGACCTTGGCGGTGCAAATCCACTTCCCAAGCAGGTGTGTGCAGTGCTATGGTGTGGGGGTCAGGGGTCATGGACCTGGCACCAGGGTTAGGGAATGAACTCAGCAACCCGGATCCACTTAAGCAGGTGGGTGCAGTGTTACAGGATTGGGGTCAGAATTGCAGGCCTGGCTGCAGGGTCAGGGTTTAGGGTTACAGGCCTGGCTCCGGGGTTAGGGGCTGAACTCGGCAATGCAGATTCACTTCTGGAACGGGGGTGCACTGTTAAGGTAGGGGTTAGGGGTTATGGGGCTGGCAGTGGAGTCAGGGGCTGACCTCAGCTACACGGATCCATTTCTCCAGCAGGCGGGCACGCTGTAGTGGGCGCAGGTTGGCAGGCCCCAGGCAGGAGCGGACAACAGCACCCGCCACGCGGTTGAACTGGCGCACGGTGGCACGGACGCTGGGGCAGGCACCCTCTTGGCCCCGGCGGCCCCGGCGCGACCACAGCGAGCCCAGGCACTCATAGGGCACCACACGCACAAACAGGTCCTGCAGGAGCAAGTGAAGGAGATCAGAGGGATCTACCTCCCGCCCTGCTCCCAAACAGGACAGAGGTAAGTTGGGGTCTGCAGCCAGTATCCCCACCCCGTCGCTCACCGCCTCCAGTAGGGTCAGCTGGGCAGCCACCTGCTCTGCTTGAAAGCCCAGGAAAGCCAAGGGATTGGCATCCTCTTCTGCCTCTTCCTCATCCTCCCCCTCATCCTCTGGCTCTGCTTGGGGTGGCAGGAATCCAGCATTAGAGTGACAAGACCCTTATCCCCCGCACAGCTCAGACTTCACAAGCCTAACTCCACTCCCCAAGTACTGCTTCCCCCTGAGTCCCTCTCACCTGTGTGGGCAGGGGCCCCCAGTAGCTCCTGTAGTCGTTGCTCTGTCTCTGAGCCCTTGCCCGCCGCCACCTGCAGGCTCCGGGTCAGCCGTTCCCCCAGGCCAGGCTCCAGCACCCCCCTGAAGTCCTCGGGGTACCCCTCCAGCCAGGAGTACAGCACTGACGCGAAGGCCCTGTTGGGGCAGCACAGACATCAGGCAGGGGATGGTGGGGGCAGAGGGATTCACAGGCAAA